GAAGTCTAATTTTCAGGCAGAACTGACTTAAGTTATTAACCCTTTTAACATCTTGTCTCTTACTTCACTTGACACACAAAAACACTGTCCGATATTTTGATATTTTAGATTTTTTCAATACATAAGCCATGGGTACATCTGGGGGGAGAAGAACTGTTCTCAATCAGTAGTCAACTGGGGTGTCTGCATTTAAATCCACCAGCAAGTAACCGAAAGGATTTTTAGTAGCGTCCTAGAACGCTTCCAAAACAAATTTGGCCTTACATCTGTTGGGACAGCATTGTAATCTGTAGTTTATCTCTAGGGTTTTTAAACAGCATCATGTACTTTGTATTTAATGTGATGGTTCTGCTTTTCCGGCCCTGACAAAACACATTTTGGACAATATACAAAATTGTTAAGGTTTCTGTGGTGTACGTATTTGCTAAAAGCCTTTTGTATCTCATTATTTTCACACGCAGACTCCATTAAATCATCAACTATAATCAAATTTACTTTATGAGGCAGCAGGAACTGATCGTCCGAAAACGACACCGGTAGACCTTCTATAAATTGAATGTGTGGAGATTTCACAAGCAACTCCGAGTAAAGAGGCAGCCAGCAGCTGTAACACCAGGCGACGTCAAAACAGCATCACCGCTCTCCAAGAGCTGTTTTATAAAATAACTTTTACCACAGTTCGAAGGTCCTGACAAAATGCATGAAAAAGGGTACTTTAACCTGACATCCATCATATTAATATTCACGCTGAATATAATATAAAATCGTCTTTCTGTACAACCAGCCAAAAGTAGTATTTCTCACCGGATTAAAATCATTTTCACCATAACAAACACTACGTCTGTGAAAAAAGCACCCCTTGAACTCAAAAGCAGTCTGCACTCCATCAATTCCAGCATAACCATCCAGAAAATACGGGCAGACCTTAAACTCGCCAGGTGTGGTTAAAGCGTGTTGGATCTTAATGTGCTCTGTGTGTTCGATGTACATAAGCCACTGAATGCTGGGTTTAGAAAATCGTTTTCGCTGATGGTGGTAATTATCTGGGGGCAGTAATGCGATCATCTCTTCCTGTGAAAACACAAGTCTGAACGTGGCCATGCACACGCTAGCAATGGTCACAAACTGGAAGGGGTCAATGCACACCACGCACACATGGCCCGACTCGGTCACACATGTCTGTCTGGTCATGACCTCGTCCCTGAACCTGACACAACCTTCTCTTAGAACTGCAACCTCCTGCTGGCAGTACTGCTTCAGTTCAGCCTGCAAGTTAAACACATTCCCCTTACATTCTTCAACCCATTCTAAAAACTCGAATTTCTCCCCCGGCAGCGTATAGTTTACACCATAAACATCTGGCAGCGGCATCGGTCCTGCATATTTTGGATTTTTTTAAGTGTTCATCAAATGTGGAAAATGCCCCTTAGCCCCTGGGAAACCCATGGCTGAAGGTAATTTGCTTCATTTCATGAGGTGAAAGTTTAGAGAATCGATAAATCTCATGTTCAAAGCTTTTACGGTCATGCACATTATTGTACCACCCTGATTAATTAGTTCAACGTCCACCTTTTCTTCTAGTAGTTGTCGGATTACTAGGCAATTGTCATAGCCCTTTCCATTGTGCGATATGAAAGTATAGTTTTTGAAACAACCATGAATAAATTTACGCACAAAATCCTTTAA